CCGTTCCCTCTGGGCTGTGGGGTGGGCAGGGAGAAAGTTCCCGCAGCAGGGCGGGATGGGGCTGGGAAGGGTTTGCAGCTGGGGCGCCCACGTGCAGCACCCAGCACCCAGCTCTGCCATTGCCCCGCGTGGGGCAACGGCCACCAAGGACTCGGCTCACAGCACGCAGCGCCCCTGGGGACACCTTAAGGCCACCCCAAAGAAACACAGTTAAAAACCCAAGACCCAGAGCACGCAGGAGGTGGCCTCCCTGGGCAGAGCGGCTCCCTGGTTGCCACTACGGGACCCTCCACGAATACCCCATGGGGAGGCAGCGGCGCCGTGCGGAGCAGGGAGGTGGGCAGGACTCCGTCCTGCCGCAGCCCTCCTCTCCGCCCGAGGCCAGCCCGGCTCCCAGGCGGCTCCCCATGGGCTGTGCGCGGCCGCTGCGGGCCCTAGGCCCAGGCCGGGTGGGAGAAGCTGATGTTGTAAAGGCCGGCCCAGCTGGCGAAGACCCGCTTCTCCGTGATGAAGCGGTGGTGGTTGCCCTTGCGGCTCCGCTCGTTGTGGATGTACGTGGTGCACTCGTCGGGGCCCTTGGGCTCGTAGTAGTGGTACGCCATGCGCCGGGGCTGCGGGCGGTTGCTGCGGGGACACAGAGCGCCGGGTGAGGCCGGGAGAGCCCCGGGCGCCGCTGGCGGCTGCCACCGCCGCCGTGCTGGCCTTACCTGCAGTAGTTGGGCGGCACACATGGACCTTGCAGCACAGCTCCACCGCGATCACCATGGTGAACCAGCCAGTGCTGAGCCACGACCGCGACTTCTCCCTGGGGACAGCAGAGAGAGGAAACGGGGAAGGAGAAGAGGGAGAAAGCAACATTATTACCGACGACTCCTCCAGTGGCCCTCACCGCCCTACGACCATGAGCTGATGCATCCTGTGGAGCAACCCAGCAAGGTGGCTCCACCACGGGGACACGCTGCCTCTGCGAGGTACCTGTCCTTCCCCGTCTCGCCCCGGAACAAGTCATCAAACTGCTTCATGCGCCCCGGGGAGACGACGTAGGCCGTCATGTTGGGGAAGGACATGCTGACGCGCTGGATGATCTTCAGCAGGCTCTTTTGCATCTTGGCGGGCGGCCCCCAGAAGATGAAGATGGTCTCTGGGGTCTTGTTGACAAACTCCTGCGGCCTCTTGAGCACGCGGTAGACGCTGGAGTGAGCAGGCGGAAGCTGGTCTTGTTCCCCACGTCTGCCTCGTAGCCAGTGGTGGGGGCATCGTTCATGCGGATGGTGCACTCGGCTTGGTCAATCTCCGAGCCCAGGTGGGTGCCCAGCAGGTGGCTGGAGCTGGTGACGATGACGCACTGGTGGCAGTGGGAAGTCAGGGTCTGGGGAAGACAAGTGCCACAAGCTGGGACGCGGTGCTGGGGAGAGACGCGTCACCTCCCCTACAGACCTGCCATCCCGACCCGGCACCTGCAGGACGGGCCCTGCTCTCAGAGCAGCACCACAGGGGACACAGGGACACAGGACACTTCATTAGGCCATCGAGAGAGGGCAGCGCCTGCAAGCTTGGCTGGATCCCCCCAGTCCGGTACAAGCCCCGCTCCAGCACCAGCCCCACTGCCGCTCCGCACGCTCCCGCGAGGCCGAGCGCTGACAGGGAGGCCAACGCGGTGACAGCAGCCCCGGTGTGCCAGCCCCATCTCGCACCTTGTTGCCGCAGACGGGCAGGTACCCGTTTTTGACCCCCCATTTCTTGAGGTTGGGGGGCCGGCGGGCTCTGCCCCGCAGCGCGCCGTAGCGGAAGACCTCGTTGCCGCTGCTGGAGCTGTAGATGATCAGCAACATGATGAGGCCGAAGAGGACCAGGAAGACGGCGGCACGCTGGCCCTGCGGGCACGGCGAGAGAGCGTCAGGAGCCAGGACACTGGGAAAGGGATCCCAATGTGCCCCCCAGCAGCTCTGCTTTGCAAGAAGTGGGTTTCACTGAAAAATGGGATTTTCGCCACCAGAACCCAGCGGCTCCACGCAGCTACGGCCCCGCTGGGCACGTGAGCTCCGTGCAGGGAGAAGGGATTTCTCCGGCACTGCCGCAGGCCAGGGCGGCTCTTCTGGGGAAGCGGGAGTTGACGGTGACACGGAGCAGCGGGAGAGGCTACAGCACAGGCCCAGCTGGCTCCGTGTGTCCCCTCCCAGACCACGGAGCTGCTCGGATGCCGTTTTTGCACACCCGAGGCTCCCGGCACGCGTGACTCCAGCAGGTGCCAGCGCCGTGGCCCAGCTCGGCCAGGCCCCGTTGAAGGTCCCGACGGATCGGCCACTCGGAGAGGAAGACCACGAGGGTGACGGCGCGCAAGGACTCACCGCGTTGCTGCTCATGTCTCTGTGCAGGCCTCAGCGCGGAGCGGTCGCGGGTGCTGGGCGAGCACCTGCAAGCGACGCGACACGGGGGTCACTCCATGGCGCCCCGTCCTGATGATTGCTGCCACTCGCTGTGGCGGGGGAGCTGCCGGGGGCTCCGGAGATGCCACGGAGTGCTCCGGGCCCTCCGCTTCCACGCGGAAGAGAGTGGGAGCCACCGCGGGCGAGCGCAAGGCCCGGCGAGCGCATCCCGAGCCGGCCGCCGCAGGGAAATCCTGGAGCTGGGCTGAGCTCCAGGGACAGCTTATCCCGTGGCTGGCGCGGGCGAAAGCCACTCAAACAAATCCCCGATCCGGGAGTAAACGTGCCGGGAGACACCGCCATCGCCTCAACCCCACCTCCCTAAGTCGATTGGGCTTGGGAAGCAAAATCCCATTAAAAGGAAACACAGGGGAGACGCGGGCGGGCAGGGCCATGGAGCAGGTGCAGGACACAACCGCCTGCAGCCGCATCCCTGAAACCACTCACGCATCAGGGCATGGCTGAGACCTGCCCAGCTCAGCTCACACCTGGGCTCAGATCTGGCCAGAAACCACCAGGAAACCTCCTCCCCCTGCCACGTCCATGGATACTCATTCCGGAGGGAGGCAGGAACCACTTACCCTGCTGCTCCCCTGGGTGCAGCCCGTCCCAATTTAGTTTTAAAAAGTGCTTATTACCGAGTCACGGCTCTTCCTCTGTGGAGCACGGAGAGCGGTCGCAAATTAGAAAAATAAATAAATAAATAAACCCCTCTGCACTAATTGACTGGGGAGGAGCTGGGATGGAAAATATCGCAGCAACCTGGATTTAACCCTGCCAGGCCTGCAGGGGACGAGGGTTCCTGGAGGTGGCAGCGGGTCTCACAGCAGGTGCCCTTGGACAGGGAGAGGCCACCCTGGCCCCGTGCGACCCTGCGGGCCCTACCTGGGAATGGGGTCTCATGTGCAGAGCGCGGCGAGTGGCGCGGCGGTGGGGGCCGTGT